TCCCAGATCGGTGGCCAAGTCTATTTAATTCAACATCTACTTAATATTCAGCACACATAGTACCTTTTCAAGTACGTATATGAGAACATTTTTTTTTTTTCTCTAGGGACAAATGAATTCCAAGTTTCCCCTTAGGATATTTCTACTCCCTCAGTCCAAGTGTCTGCTTTAGCAGCAAACAATGTGGTACAAAGAGCTCATCAGGTGACAAAAGCTAGTCGGCCCAAACATCAGTAATGTGTTAACACTGTGGTGGTGGTGGTTATGTGCCGTGGAGTCAATTCCAACTCATAGCGACCCTGTACAGGGTTTCCGAGGCTGTATATGTTTACCAGATCAGAAAGCCTCATCTTTCTCCCGCAGAACAGTTGGTAGTTTCGAACTGCTGACCTTGCAGTTCGCAGCCTGATTCGTAACCACTACGCTACCAGAGCTCCTTTTGTTAACATTAGGTTCCTACTTTTTCTCACTTAACAGTAGACCCCCAACACTATTAATTTGTGTTGTTATTAGCCGTCATAGTGTCTTCCCCCCAATTCTTGTTGGCCCCGTGGACAATGGGACTGAACAGTTGTGATCCATGGGTTTTCATTGACTGACTTTGCAGAAGTAGAGTTTTTGACTATTCTAGTCTGTCTTGGTCTGGATGCTCTATCAAAACATATTCGGCAGCAACATACAAGCTTCCACTAACAGATAGGTGGTGGGTGTGCTTAATGTTCATTGGCTGGAAATTGGACTCCTGTAAGAATTCTACCACTGAGTCAGTGCAAACATTCCCCAGATGGTGAATTACAGCCATTCCTAAGTGGGTCTTAACCTTTTCATGACCTGTGAGAGTTAGAGTACCCGCCTACATTTTCTACCTCTGGGATTTAGTAGAGAGCTGGTATCCTACTTTTAGTGTGTGTGCTACCATCTGATTTATGCAGATGGTATCATACACTATACAATTTTAGCTGCATAAATCTGCATAAAAGAGCCGCATTCCACCCACCCCAGCACTAGAGACCCCTTGGGACATTAATTGCATCAAAATCCATTTTACCTAAAACATGTTTTTCATTTCATTCAAAATCAGAACAGGTGCGTATGGTTCATATTTCAAGTTAATTTTGTGCAAGAGAACACTCAAAGCCTTTTCAATGACTTAAAAGCTGCTCATGCAGCAAGTGAAAGTGATAGTGATGAAGAATTTGTTGTGAGTAGGGGTTGGTTCGGGACTCCTGGTGGTTTTGAACCACAAGATCGGTAGTTCAAACCCACCAGCTGCTCCTCAGAAACCCTATACAAGGTCACTATGAGTCAGAACTAACTCCAAGGCACTTAACAACAATAACAACAAAAGGGGTTGTTATGTTGTTTCAAAGTGAGGGCAAATTTGGAGTTCTGTTATGGTGCTGTGGGTTTATGCGCCAGACTGCAAAGTCATTTGAACTGCAATGTAGGTGGTTCAAGCTCACCAGCTGTTCCCTCGGAAACCCTATACAGGATCACTATGGGTTGGAATCAACTCGATAGCACTTAACAACAACAACAAAGGACTATTTCCTAACGCCCAACTTACATACACACCCCATGTCAAAGAAAGGCTTTAAATGTACTCTTCCAACCCATTGTCCATGTATTTGAGTTCTCTAGTGTGGTCCGTTCAAGGCCTCCTATGTATAATGTGATGGATATGTGGGTCTGATTTACAGTCACTTGGTTGTTTGTATCACCAATACATAGATATCATCTTAGCCTTTTAGAATATATTAAAAAAAAAAAAAAAAAAAACAAGCATATGTATTGTATTCTCCAGAACTAAAATATTTTATTAGAAAGCAAATGTTGAAGTTGTAGTCCCACAAAATAATAGAATCATAGTGTCTAGGACATTGAGGTTTGCTCGGTGTATGGCTGGTATTTTAAATCAGCCACTGAGACCTACTGTAGACAAGTAACCAACAAGAAGAGCCTGAGTAAAGCTTCCCTAAGCAGGGAGGAACTCTAGCAGGTCACCATTGCGCACTTCAGTCCCTGTGCATGCTTAACAATTTTCTAGATGGCCCCCAGTGATGCTTGTCTCTACTAGCGGCAGTCAGAAGACAGGTATCCTTGTTCGTATCCTTCTATGTGTTCTTGTTACAGAGGTTCCCTAATTCTGCTGCAGAGAGAACTTGCCGGTTGTTGTAAAGGTTTGCTGTCATCATGTTGGCCCCTGACTCATGGCAAACTCACACATGAGCCATAGGGTTTTCATTGGCTGATTTTTAGAAGGCCTTTCTTTCAAGTTCGTGTTAGTCTGGAAGCTCTGCTGAAGTCTGTTCAGCATCAGAGCAACACAAAAGACTCCAATGAGTTGGGCAGTGGCTGTGCATGAGTTGTATTGGCCAGAAATCAAACCCAGTTTTCTGTATGGAAGCGGAGACTTCTAGCACTAAACCACAGTGCCCCCTGACTTGCTATTAGAAAACCCTTTTCTCAGATCTAGAAGTTGCTTTGTTTTATTTTTAATAGCAGCATTATATACTGCTTTGTAAAGTCACATTTCCAGCTTCCAGCTTTCTATGAATATTTTTTTTGGTGAAGAACAGACAGATGGTAAGTTTCTGTTTTGAATTGGTACCCCCAAAACAGGGGACACACATTACTTTTAGTTTGGAAAACAGGTGTTACCATTCATGCCGAACTGCAAAACAGCTAAACATGTTTTATTATTTTAAATGGCATCTAGAGAAATGGGAATCATTCTGAATTAATAAACCATTGAAAATGAAGTGCAAGGGATGCTTCAAAAAGTTCATGGAAAGATTCCATTATCTTTTATTTCCATTTTTCCACGAACTTTTTGAAGCCCCCTCATATTAAGGTGTGTAATTTTTAGTCCTGGTGTGGTGCTGTAGGATAAGCACTGGACTGCTAATTGCAAATTCAGAGGCTCAAACCCTCCAGCTGCTTCTAGGAAACCCTAAACAGGGTTACTATGAGGGGGAGCCCACTCAAAGGCACTTAACAAGGCACAGTATTAGGAGCCCTGTGAGTTGCACATTGGGCTGCTAACTGCAAAGTTGTAGGTTCAAATCCATCAGCCACTCCACAGAAGTGGAGTTGCTATGAGTTGGAATCCGTTCCTTGACAGTGGGTTTGGGTTTGGGTTTGGTTAAGTACAATATAGTACTTTTTAGACACAGACTTATGGCAAAAGAAAACAAAAACAACTCCTCATGCTCTTAACCATTGTGTAAACCTTTTTTTCCCCTTCTTTTGAAAAAAGTATAAAAACACACACCAGGTTCTGAATGTCAAATTTCTATACATAAATAAAAGTTACATGAACCACTCTTATAACTTGCATGCTCACCAGAGTTGTGGGGGCTTATTTCCTCTGTTTCCTACTATAGACACTGGTAACAAGGACTCTCAGCTCTGGGCACAATCTTTCTTTCCCAGGTCAGGCTCCCTGCTATGAGCAGGACAAGTTGAATATCAAGATTATTGGAGAGAGGGTGGGGGAAACATTGTTTGCCTCTTTTTCTGATTTAGCCTCCATATTGCCAACATCAAGAAAGAAGGGAGGAATCTTTTTGTCTTAACTTGACTGATCCTTCTCTTTCTAGGCCCTACCCCTAGACTGATTTTTAAACCCTGTGCCCTGGTGATTCTGTAGGATAAGCACTGGACTGCTGACCACAGGTTCAAACCCACCAGGTGTTCCATGGGAGAAAGATGAGGCTTTCTTCTCCTGTAAAGATCCACAGCATCAGAACCACTATACAGGGTCACTATGAGTCAGAATCTACTCCATGGCAATGGGTGTGATTTCGGTTTTTGCCCTCACTTAGCCCCCACCTTCATATCACCAGATCTCTGTCTTGAAAAAGCCCCAGCTTGCTAGAGATTTTAGAGTTTGTAGGGTTACCAGCAGTAGCATGAGACCTTCCTCTCATAGCTGGGTTGTAAAAGAAATGTGCTCATAGCATCCTAGTTGAAGAATAATCTGAATGTATTTTTCTCATAGAGACATTGCTATGGTATAAGTAGTAGTTTCTCTGGTACTCTTCTTGGATACTGCAGATACATTTGAATTAAATTGTCTTGTGAGGGGACAACCTCAGGAATCTAGGCATTGTTACGGGAAAATACTTGCTTTCAAAATTCCAAACACCTTGCTTAGAAATGGACTTCTGATCCTACAAAAATTCAGAGAATACCACTGATGAATTGATATCAGGAAATATAGCTGAAAGAAACAGATTTCATAATTATTATTTCAAATTTCCACTGATAGAGCCGAATGGGGTGTCTATGTGTGTATACGTACGCATAGATATGTATGTACAAACCTGTTTTGTAATCCATATGCATGTATACTCTTTGAGTTCCATTTCCTCTTGTGTAGTTCACAGCAAAGTTAATTCTACTTGGAGTTATCATAGTAATCACATACATTTTAACCTACACACTCCCTTTCTCTTATGCATTTATCCCAAGGGGGAGAAACTCAATATTATTTCTAGGTTTGATATATGGTCCAAAAGTACCCATAAATTATGACTGCCAAAAAATGTAAAGTACATGAAAACAAAGGCCAAACCCTGAAATAAACCAGCATGTTCAGCGTTCTCAAACTATCAGATCTCATGGAAGCACCCAGATGCCCAATTCATAATTTCTACAGGTCTCCATTAACCCCTCATTCTTTAATATAACTACTTTTCCTTTCAGAATCACCATTCAAAATTTAAAGCAATTTTAAAGCTATAGTTTATTTTGTCTGGGCTTTATGAAAATTACTATAGTTCAGCAGTTCTTCGTTATATTTTTATCATAGACGACATAGGTTTGAGAATTCAGCTTCAGAACTAGATTGTCATTTGGTCCATATTCTAAACAATAAATTTTCAGCATTTTTTTTTACAATCAGTGCATTGGTATGTCTAATTTAGTTTTTATTCTAATATGTTATTTGATTCGATTTTATATTAAAGTTAAACATTTTTTTATGGCTTTTACAGGGTTCAAAATTATGGATAATAATGGAATACCTTGGTGGTGGTTCGGCACTGGATCTTGTAAGTATTTTAAAAAATAATAACACATACATCCAAAATGAAACTTTTTTTAAAAAATTGAAGTATGTAATGGCTTCAGGAGCTCTGGTAGCATAGTGGTTACGAAGTGTCAAGGTCAGCAGTTCGAAACTACCAACTGTTCCACGGGAGAAAGATGAGGCTTTCTGCTCCCGTAAAGATTTACAGCCTTGGAAACCCTGTACAGGGTCGCTATGAGTTGGAACCGGGTCCACGGCACATCACCACCACCAGCTTTGGGGCAAGCTAACTAGTTATTGTAGTTAATATGTTCTAAATAAAGTCTCTCTTCAGGACTCTTGCATAGAATCAGCTGGATTGTATGTTGCTGATGTTCTAAGTATGTAAGAAATGCAACTAACTTAATAAAATTGAGTCCCCAAATTAGAAATAGGTGTGTGACAATTGCTGTCAGTTAAGAGTTTGATTTTGTACATTTTTATCTGAACAGACTTTCTTCTTAGATTAAAAAAAAAATTAGGTGCAGATAATTGTCCCCAAGTCATGTTCGAGTTCTAAGTAGGTTTAAAGAACCAGAGAGTTCAGAGAGTCCTCTACATCCTTCTGTAGATAATCTGGCAATTTGGCAGCATTTTTGGTTATCACAGGACTTAGAAGTGCTACTGTGATTTTAGTGGACAGGGATCGGGATGGTAAACATCCTACATTGTGCAGGAAAAGTTCCACCCATGATGTGGTCACATGCAAAATGCCTTTGAGAAACCTGTGGTTCTATCAATGTTGGCTTTTTTCCTCATTTAAAATCTGTATTGCTATGGCAGACAGCATATTTAAAATTTAATATGAATTACTAGAGGCAACTTTGCATGGTAGATGGACCACTGAGCTGACCTGTGGATGTTTGAGGTATCGAGTTGGACCTTCTCATGTTTAAATTTGGAACTGAGAACTAGACACAAAACTCCCTGGTCTTGGGTGTCCTATAAAACAAACCATTGTGCTACGTTATTTCTAAGTTAACCTTCTCTGTAACACTATCTGACTTAGAATTCATTTTCATGTTTCTGCCTTTGAAATTATAGATTATACTGTCTCTAAGGGAAAAAAATGTGTTTTAATTATTAAGATCATCAATTAATGTTTGGATTATAATTTTTTTAAACTGGTGATGAATTTTTCTAATTGAAACTGATTACTTTAAAAAAAAAAAAAAAAAAGGTTTTGACCCTGATTGCCAACGACTCCATGTTTGAATAGAAATGACCATTAAAGATTTTCTTCCCTTTAGGCAGAACCACACTTCAACCATTTTTTTAAAATGGTAATTAAAATCCTCATATACTTCTAGGAACTCATCTCAGTTTTAAATCAGTTTCCAGTTGGGTAATCTTTACTGAGATCTAATCCTTACATTCTAAAACTTGCGTCAATTTTTTCTTATTGTCTCATCTCACTACGAGACAGTAAAAATCTTGCAAACATATGAAGTTAGGCCTCATTCTACTCTTAAAATTAAATATTATTTCTGTCTTATCACATAATCTCTTTTAAAATACAATTTTATTTTGTTGTTATTGAGAGCATACACAACAAAACATACAGCAAATCAACAGTCTCTACATGTACTATTTGGTTGGTTGGTTGGTTATGTGCCATGGAATCAGTTCCAACTCATATACATACATATACAGGGGTATGAGGTCTCTGAGCCTATAAATCTTTATGGGAGCAGAAAGCCCGTCCCATCTGTCTCTCACAGAACAGCTGGTAGTTTTGAACTGCTGACCTTGAGGTTAGCAGCCCAACTTGTAACCACTATGCTACCAGAGCTCCATTTGTTGTTTTTTGTTGTTAGGTGTCATTGAGTTGGTGCCAACTCATAGTGACTTTATGCACAGCAGAATGAAACACTGCGTGATCCTGGGCCAACCTCACAATTGTTGCCACTCTTGAGCCCATTGATGCTGCCACTTGGCCAATCCATCTTGCTGGGGGTCTTCCTCTTTTTCTCTGACCTGCCACCTTACCAAACATGATACCCTTCTCCAGCGACTGGTCCCTCCTGACAATATGTCCAAAGTATGAGAGACTAAGTTTAGCCATCTTGGCCTCCAAGGAGCGCTCTGGCTGCGCTTCTTCCAACCAGATCTGTTGGTTCTACGGGCAGCCCATGGATGACACTTTCAATATTCTCCTCCAACACCTACCTCAAAAGCATCAATTCATCTACAGTCTTCCTTATTTACTGTCCAACTTTAGTCACACTATAGTCTTCAAGTTGGGTAAGCATCCTCACGCCTCTTTTCAGAGTAACATAAACTCACTGCTCCTTACGTTCCCTATCTCATCTTTCAAGTTGCTGTGGTCAATTTGATCCCACAGAGAGAATTCTCAAAGGAGCATACTGCTCAAGGCTGACCTCTTTTTTTTTTTTTTTTTTTTTAATCAGTTAAGCTATACTGTTGTTCAGTTTTAAGATGAAGTTAGGAGTTATTTTTGGCTTAAGGTTTAAAGATTATCTCAGGGCAATCATTTTAAGGGTTCATCCAATGTATATGGCTCCAGAAGTCTGGATTCTGTGAAACTTTGAAAATCTGTTTTGGCATTTTCCCCTTTTTGTCAGACTTCTTCTATGGAATCATGGATCACAATGTCCAATAATGACGGTTGGACACTATCCAGTTCTTCCGTTCTCAAGGGAAAGGAGGCAGTTGTTTATAGAGGCCCAAATTCATCAGATATCTCCTCCTATTCCAGACTCTCCTTCGTATGTTGCTCCAGGTGAATAGAGTTGTGCTCTGGATGTCTGTTTGCAAACTTTGGAGACTCCAGGCACTATGTGTAAGACTAAGAGATAGAGCAGTGGCACTAAGCATGGTATATTAAGACAATTAATTGAGATGTTCCATGAAACCATGACTCTAACCCTGCAAACCAAGAAACCAAATGAGGTTTCTGGTTGTACATAAGCAGTCTCAGCAACTACATCTTTAGTGTGAGTTTGTCATTGTTGTAAATACATTAACAACACAACTCTGGCTAATTCAACTTTTTACAGGTGTATAATTCATTGACAGCAAATACAATAACCAGCGATGCAACTCTACTTTTAATCAACGTGATATTTTCGTCACCGTTAATCCTCCTTTTCCCTCCTCTCACCGCTGGTAACAACCACTAAGGACATTGAAATGACCACCAAATGCATGAAAAGATGCTCAGTGTCATCAGCTATTAGAGAGATGCAAATCAAAACCACAATGAGATCCCATTAGGATGCTCAGATAAAAAAAGAAAGAACAGATGTTGGTGAGGTAATTGGAACTCTTACCCCTTGTCTGGTGGGAATGCAAAATTCTATAGTCATCGTGAAAGACAGTATGGCAGTTCCTCCCAAAACTAAAACTTGAACTACTATACGATCCAGCAATTCCTCTCCTCGTTATGTAGCCAGAAGACTTGAAAGCTGATCCAACCTTAACTAATTCTCCAATAGTAGGTTGGTTTTATGAAGTCTGAGTGAAATGATGTTTCCATCTTAATCTCATCCTGCCATTCGCATGTCTAACCAATAAAATATCAGTTAGAATAAATTTAAGTAAGTTTCAATGTTTTAAAAACTGTATTCACCAACAACCAAGAGAGCTAGGTACTAGTCCTGATTTTATCACTAACTGCTGGAATCCTGGTGTGGCATTTTAGGATAAGCACTGGCCTCAAACTGCAAGGTCAGTGGTTCGAACCCACCAGCTGCTCCTTGGAAACCCTATACAGGGTTGCTATGAATTGGAACCAACTCAACAGCACTTAACAGCACTTGACTAATAAGGATCCCTGGTGGTGCTGTAGTATAAACACTGGACTGCTAACTGCAAGGTTAACAGTTCAAACCCACTAGCTATTCCCTCCTCCAACACCCAGTTAACAGATTGTACTTTAACAGAATTTTAACCGTAACCTAAATATAGCAGAGAAGTTAATGTGTCGTTAACCTAACCTAACCAATACTATTGAGTCAGCTTCAATTCATGGTGACTCTGTATGTCCGAGTACAACTGTGTTCCATCGGTTTGTCAATGGCTGCTTGTTCTGAGATAGTCACCAGGCCTATCATCTGAGACACCCTGAGTGGATTCGATCCTCCAACCTTTTGATTAGCAGCTAAGCATGTTAATAGTTTGTACCTTTTTTTTTTTTTTTTTTGCTTTAACTTAAATATACATTTTTTAAAATTCTGTATTAGGCAGTACATTGGCTTGTGCACATTCTCTTTAGAAGTCCTTCAGAATGATAGCTAGTATCCCTTATGTAGACCTTGGCCAATTTCTCTTTTCCTTCCTTCCTTCCTTCCTTCCTTCCTTCCTTCCTTCCTTCCTTCCTTCCTCCCTCCCTCCCTCCGTTCCTCCCTCACACTTTTTATTGTTAACTGAGTGAAGGATTCCAGAACGGATAGTCAGTTTTACATTAAACAAACCCGTACACTTCTCAATGACTGCAGTCCTTTCCACGTAGTATTACTTATCCCACTTCCTCCCTGGGTTTCCCATTTCCATTCTTCCTTCCTTCCCAACCCTTCTGAATTTTATCCTTAGGTAAATACTGACATTTTTATCTCCGATGGTTGACCATTCTGTGGTGTGCATTCCTCACCAGTGTTATTGTCCCATCCATATACCTATCTTATCTGAAAAGTGAGCCATGAAGATGAGTTCAGTCCCCAAACTGAAGGGTGACCAAGGGCATAATCTTGGAGTTTCACCAGTCTCTATCTGACCAGTAAGCTTGGTCTTTTATGGTTTTCAGTTTTGTTCCACATTTCCTCCCACTCTATCCAAGACCTTCGAATGTGTTCCCTTTCAGAGAAGTTGGTCGTGGTAACTAGGCACCATCTAGTTCTTCTGGTTGCAGGGTCGTGGAGACTGATATTTCTTTCATGTGGTCCGTTAGTCTGTTGAACTAATTGTTGCCAAGAATCTTCAGTTTTCATGGCTCTTCTTTCCTTGGGATAGGAAGAGACCAAT